ATGTGCTGGAGGAGCAGAGTGCCCCCATCCCCTTGGGATGTGCTGGAGGAGCAGGGTGCTCCCATCCCCTGGGAAGGAGCAGGGAGCCCTCGTGCTGTTACCATTCAGCGTCAGGCCATTGTCCTGCACCCCGTCTGTCGTGTTCTTCCACACAACCATCTTCACATCCTCCAGGGCCTGAGGAGCCAGGGGGTTTCCAAAGCAGGACTTCTGCCTCCCAAGAGAATGAAGGCCATTGTCAGCAAAGCACTGAGAGAGCACAACACCGTCTCACCTCTCCCCTGGCAAAGGATGGGGTTTCAGGGAGGGAAAATCCACCCAGCTCAGGGATTTTTGCCTTAGACCTTAACCAAACCCATTCTTCAGCATCCCAATAATTTAGGACTCTCAACATCTCAAGAGCCTGCTGGTCTTCCCATGGCAGAGCAAACTCAGCCCAAGCTTAGGAAGATGCAACCCCATATGCTCAGAGATGCACCCAACAGTCTTTAGCTGTGCCACACAAGTACAGAAAGGGAACGAGATGGCTGTGGCAGGAGAGGGGCTGGAAAGGGAACCCCAGACATTGGGGAACACCTCAGCTCTGCAGCCACCCTACCTGGAAGTAGTTGAGTTCCTCATCACTAAGGATCAGGTTGTTGTCCTGGTCTGAGAGGTTGAAGATGCGGGTCAGCGCTCGTGCACAGGCAGGTTTGAGCTGCAAGGACCAACSTCGGTGACAATCACAGGACCCCAACCACAGCCTGGCCCTTCCTCCTGCAGCCCCATACCCACAGGATTCCCTTCCTGCACTTCTAGGCCAGTGCCACCTTGAAGGTGGGAATCATGGAATTATTAGGGTTGGAAAAGCCCTCCAAGATCATTGAAACCATGTGTTCCCCCAGCACTGCCCAGGCCACCACTAACCCATGTCCCCAAGTGCCAYATCCACATAGTTTTCACATCCTTCCAGGAATGGTGGATTCCACTCGTGCCAGTGCCTGGCCACCCTTTCCACGAAGAGATTTTTCCTAATGTCCAATCTAAAGTCAGAGAGGACAATCGATAGCGAACTTTTCTGTCAGAGCCTTCCCACCACAACTAACACACAGCTTGGAGCATGAGRGCTTCTGCCCCCACAGCCAGGTCCTTGCAGGTCTCAGCTGGCTGTACTGAGCTCAGGAGATGAGAACCGTCCCTTTGGCCTGCCTGTGCCAGCCCAAACCCTCCACTTTCCTTCCAAAAGCTCCAGCCCAGAGCACTGTGATGGAAAGAAGACTCCTCCAGGAGCCTACCTGCTTCTCCTCCGGGTCGTACAGCGGGGCAGTGGGGTGCAGCACAGCTTTCTGCGCGTAGTAGAAGAGTTCTGAGATGTTCTTGAGGTTCTTGGCAGAACACTGAGGATACAAAGGAAGACACAGCCCTGATGAAAAGGGCAGCAGGAGGATGATACAAGCTCCCTGAGCCAGACTAGCTGTGCATCAAAGAACAGAGCAATGTTTGTCCACCATGAGGAAAAATCAAAGGGGAAGAACTCCCRGGTCTTGCTCTGGCTTTCCACAGTCCCAGAGCAAACCAGGCCTGAGTGGAGCTCCAACATCAGTTCCAGCTAGAGAGCCACAGAGGGCAGATCCTGAGAGCTGCCCCCTGCAAGGGGCAAAGGACACAAAGCCCAAAGCACAGGCTCTCAACCCCTGGGACTTGTGCAGAGCAACATGATCAGGGCAGCTCTCCACGAGCACAAAGGCTCCCTGACTCCCACCAGACCAACATTCCAACCCCTCAGGGAGGCTCTGCACACCCCCTGYAGCTCCCTCACCTCTACGCAGGTCTCAATCTCCGAGAACTGGTTCATGATGGGCAGGATGACTTCCATGGAGCTGCCCATCTGCAGGTCAGACTTGTTTCCCACTAAAATAATGGGGATTCTGGAAAAGACACAGAGCACGAGTGAGGCCACCCCTCTGCAGGTGCCAGCGCTGTCCCAGCCATGGGCAGGCTGGGGAGCCCCCAACCCTCCTCTGCAAGGTCCAGAGCGGCTTTCCTGCCTCCCACAGCTGGGAGCATCCATCTGGAGGAACAGCCTGCCTGATYCTGCTTACGCTTTCACCCAGCAACAATATGTTCAGGAGCCTTTAATCCAGCACAGCAGCCTCCTGCCCAAGTGATGCACAGCACTCAGACTGCAGCTCCTGTGCTCCCAGATTCCCCTGGCAGCCTCCTCTCCCTGGCTGGCTGAGACCAAAGTGGGAGAAGGATCCCTCTCCAGTGGTCTCCTGCCTCAACTGCTTCTCTGAGGGAGAAAAGTCCCCTTCTTCTGGTCTGTGTGGCCTGGCCACAAACCACAGCCTTGGAACGGTTTGGGTTTGGGAGGGGCCTCAAAGTTGATCTCATCCCAMCCCCCGCCATGGGCAGGGACACCTTGCATTAGACCAGGGCTCCAAGCCCTGTCCGAGCTATCCTGGATCAACCCACAAAGCTGGTTTGCTCTCAGTACCCTCAGAAGGAGGTGAGGGGTGATGGGCACCCCACAGCCCCCAGAATCCCCCAATTCTGCACCCACAGAYCATGCCCCACACTGTACCTGGATCCCTTTTCAAGGCCCCCATTCACCATGGGGATCCACTTTGTGCGAATCTGGAAGGTGAGCAGAGGGAAAGGACTGTCAGCACAGCCTGGGGAGGCAGAGGCAGCTCCCAGGGCAGGCAGGACCAGGGCCCTGCCACCATCTGCTCCCCAGCATTCCCTCACACCAGCAGGCAGAGCAGGCYCAAGGATGCTGGATACCAACACCAGGACACAACAAGCCTGCTGTCCTGTTGTGAGGGAGAACGCTTGGGCAGGGCTCAGCCCCTCAAAACCCTTCACAGGGCTGGGGCCACCAGTGCATGCCCACACCATGGTGGGACAGCACAGAAACCCCAGCAATGGGAACTCCTTCCAGCCTTGCTGCGGCACAGGGCTGCGCTGGGGACCCGTTACCTTGTCAATTGTGGTCTCCTTGGTGACATCGTACACCACACAGACCACGTTGGCCTGCAAGAGAAGGAGGAGGTGGTGAGGGGGTCCCTGACACCCTAATGGGAGCAGGGAATGCCATGGTAGAGCAGGGAATGTCAGGGCAGAGCAGGGAATGCCGTGGTGGCAGGGAATGCTGTGATGGCAGGGAATGCTGTGGTGGCAGAGCAGGGAATGTCAGGGCAGAGCAGGGAATGCCGTGGTGGCAGGGAATGCTGTGATGGCAGGGAATGCTGTGGTGGCAGAGCAGGGAATGTCAGGGCAGAGCAGGGAATGCCGTGGTGGCAGGGAATGCTGTGATGGCAGGGAATGCTGTGGTGGCAGAGCAGGGAATGTCAGGGCAGAGCAGGGAATGTCAGGAGAGAGCAGGGAATGCCGTAGTGGCAGGGAATGACACAGTGGCAGGGAATGCTGTGATGGCAGGGAATGCCAGCTGAGCTGCCAGGGAAGTGCACTGGCTGAGAGCACGTGAGCGTGGACACGTACACAGCCCCCGAGTGGGCCACCCTCAGTGGGAGCCCACGAGCTGCTGGGAGCAACTGGAGCAGCTCCTCTGCTTCGGGAGCCACTGGGAGCACCTCCTCTGCCTKGGAGCAGCTCCTCTGCCTCGGGAGCCACTGCTCCCACGCCCGCCGGCCCCGATCCCCCTCCCATTCCAAGTGTGTCCCTGCCCTCCTCCCCTCCGACCCCGCGCAGACAGCGCCGGCACCGAGGCTTTATCGGAAGCAGACAGGAGGGATCACTGGTCCTTTCAGGAGAGAGTTTAATGCTAATCCTGAGGACACACAAGGGTTTAGGCAGGATTTCCTGGAGCCATTTAAAGCCTCTGTGTACTCCTGCTGTCTGGGTGGAGGGAGCAGGACCCCCACGCCCACCTCCTCAGCTGTTAGCTACCGGGGTTGGGAGATTAAATAGCTTTGCTCATGTGARAGAGACGGTTTTATTATCTGTAATTAAAAGGTCCTCATGTCTGCAGAGTCAAGGCTAATCCCAGGGCAAAGAGCAGCTGGGTCCACCCCAGCCAGACAACTTAATTATTCCTCCATGGCTGCTCCAAGGGTTCCCTCATCCCTCCCTGCCCAGCGCTCGCCAGGGGCTCCAGCTCCCAAATAAACTCCTCTGTGCCACTGCTTCACCAGGCAGCCACAGGGATCTAATGCAGGGAGYGGGGTTCTCATCCAAACCCAGCAACTGCTTCTCCCTCAGTTCTGGGTCCATGGGGAGCATCCCGAGGCTGAGAGCACATCATCTGCTCTACAGCATCCTCCGCCTCCCGAGGGCAGTGAGCAGCCCCCGCCGCTCTCCTTCTGGAGGCTCCCCGGAGGGCTTGGGCAGGCCACACACACCAGCTTACAAGACAGAGCAGGATTAAACAAGCCTCTAAACAAACCAAGGGCATTAATCCGCGGATAACTGACCGCCTGTGCCTCTCCGGGTGGCTAATGGGGAGGGGAGGGGAGCAGCCACATGTCCCTTGGAGACCATAGCCTCCTGTCCCCACACTGACCAGCMCCACTCACCTTGGAGATCTCCTCCTGCAGCTCCTCCTCTGTCTGCTCCGACTCTGGAATGGGAACAGAGCTGTCACCACCTGCCYAGGCAGGGACACCTCTTCCCAATCCCCTCAGCCAGGCAGGGAAGGGGAGGAGCCAGGCAGGACGGGGCCCTACCTGAGTAGTCCACTATGTGCGTGGGGACCTTCTCAGGGGTGACATCAGCCGGGATCGTGATCTCCTCTGCCCGGGGGGGCACCTGCAAAGCCAGCACATCCCGTCCAGCCACAGGCAGCCAGGATGGGTGACAGGGGACTTCAGATCCCAGTGTGGCCACCGCCAGGGTGGGATGAGCTCCAGATCATGGATCCTTCTTGGCCCATCAGGCTGCAGCAGCTCCCTGCAYTCCAGCCCTTGCACAGGCAGTGTGCTCCAGGTGAAACTTCCACCTGCCTACCTCACAGGCAGCTCCTGATCCCACTGGAGATAAGCCCTGGACACTCCCTGGGCTGACTGTCTGGGCTGGGCTGGCAGCAGGGGAAGGGACACAGGGCTGGTCCCCCCAAACCTGTCAGCCAAAGCTGCCCATCACAACACCACRGAGAGCACCAGCTGCTCGTGGGTAGCAGAAGCCATGGGACAGCACAGGGAAAATGTGCCCAGACTGATCCCACTGCCCTTTCCAAACAGTGCTGGGACAGCAAGCTGTCAAAGCCCACAGGCAGGCTGGGTGCTGCTGCTCATGGCTGGCCCAGCATGGAGCACAAACCAAGGGCAGGGAATGTGGCCTGRCCCTTTCCAAGGGCTCTGTGGCAGTGCCAGCCCTGTTGTGCTGCTGGACATGACAGAGACTGCCAGCAGCAGCAGCAGCAGCAGTGAGACACTGGAAGGCACCAACACCCTCCTCAGGGCAGAGAGAGCCACAAGTCAGGATCAGCCCCCAAGTCGTTTTCAGAGCACAAACTGAGGAAAGGAGAACCTCAGCTGCAGCTCCATGCAGTCCTCACTGAGCTCACCTGAACCAGCCCCATGGCTGTCACACCCAGGAGCTGCGAGCACCTCCCAGACACCCCCATCTCCAGCAGGGGACACTGGGGACAGAGCTGTCCCACCCACTGAGGGGACGGGATGGGGGTGTGCGGGTCCCCTCCCCACTCACCTCTTCAGGAAACTCCTCTCCCACCAGAGCCATGATCAGGGACGTCTTCCCCACCTGGGCTAGGAAAGAAAGGGAGGACGTTGACATTGGCACCGGCATGGCATTGCTTGAGACGGCAACGGCAAAACGGCAGGTGARAGCCACGATCGGAGGCGGGGCTGGTGACAACGACATCCGCGGGGTCTGCGGCCACGGTCACTCCCCTGGCTCTGCCAGTGACATGGGACCCCCTTGGCCCCCCGCCCGCGCTCGACTCTCCCTTGCAGGAGAAGCCCTTTCCCCGAGACTCCGGTCCCCCCTCACCCTTCCCGAGCAGGAGGATCCTGCCCTGCCCCCGTGCCCCGCATGGCTCCCGTGCCCCTCACCCTCCCCGAGCAGGAGGATCCGCACGTCCCGTTTCATGGCGGCGCCGCCGCCTCCCCGGCCCCCCCCACTTCCGGCCGCACCAGCGAGCGGCGGCGCAGAGCGGCSCGAGGCAGCACAGCGCCCCCTAGCAGGGGAACCACACCGAGACCTCCAGCGTTCGTTTTTCCATGGTTTATTAACGAAAACAAAACGTTTAACGATAACAAACGGCGAACGAGGCCGTGAAACACATCCCATCCCGAGGCCGGGCGGGGCCGCAGCCGGGCCAAGCACCGCCTCCTGCAGCCCAGGGGTGGCTGTTCGGGCCGGGTTGGAGCTGGAGCTGGAGCCTGCCCAGGGCCGGCCGCAATGGAGAACGCCCTGGTTCAGAGCCGCTCGCCTCAGGCGCCCGTCAGCTCCCAGAGCAGGACGGCGCTGTGGGAGGCCGTGAGGAGGCGGCGGCCGGAGGGCGCGAAGCGGCACAGGTGCACGGTGTCGTCATGGCCGGCGTAGTCCTGGGGCTCCCCCGCGGGACAGGGCTGCAGCCGCAGCAGGCGGTCTGGGGACAGCAGCGGCTCAAGGGCGGGCAAGGAGGCTCTGCCTGGCCCTGGT